GTCCAGAGTTTCTATATATGTAGAAAGGCAGGGCATAAAGCATAGCATCTCTGCTTGAAGGGACTGAATTTATGGGGAACAAAATCTGGAGAAGTTAATGCCTGAAAGCATTGTCGATAACAGTGAGTATCTTAATGGTGAGCAATTAAGAGGGGCTTGGTGGTTCCATGCTACTAGTAGCAACAAGGGAACACTATAAAACAGTTTAAGAGGCATCTAAAGACCACTCCACCCAACAGCAATAAAATATATATTCCCTTCAAGTACATGTAACTTTCTGCAAAATAGATCGTATGCTAGGCCATAAACATACCTCAGTAGATTTAAAAATACTGAAATCATACAAATTATGTTCTCTAACCAAAGTGGAATTTAGAAATCAATGACAGAAAGAAATATGTGAAACTCACAAATATGTAGAAATTGAACAACACATTCCTAAATAACCTGTGGGTCAAATAAGAAGTTACAGTGGAAATCAGAGAATATTTCAAGATGGATGTAATCAAAACACCAAAGCAAGAAGCAGCTAAAGCAGTACTTACGGGTTAATTCATTTAAATCTCCACAAAAAAAGAGGAAACAAAACACAAAACAAGCAGAAGGATAGGAATACTAAATATTCAAATGAAAATAAATAGAGAATAGAAGAACAATAGAGAAAATCAACAACACTAAAAATTCGCTCTTTAAAATGATCAGCAACCTGGATTGTATCCAGAATATTAAAAATGCTTAAAAGTCAATAACAAGGCAAATAATGTGATTAAAAACTGGGTAAAAGATTTGAATAAACTCCTCCAAAGAAATATGTAAGTGGACAATAAGCGCATGAAAAGATGCTTAACTAAAAATAAAAGATTAGTTACTGGGGAAATGCAAATTAAAACTACAACGAGAAACCACTTATCACCCACTAGAAAGGCTATAGCCAGAAAGACTAAAAGTAAGACTTAGTGAGGATGTGGAGAAGCCTGAGCCCTCGTACATTACTGGGGAGAATATACGATATCGCTACCACTTTGGAAAATAGTTTGGCAGTCCTTTAGAATGGTAAGCAAGCTTACCGTATGACCCAACAATTCTACTGTGAGGTATCCATTCAAGAGAAATGAAAATGTTTCACAAAAAGGCGTGTACATGAATAATCATAGCAGCATTATTCACTATAGCCAAAAGTGGAAACAATTCAAATGTCCATAGACTATGATTATATAAAGAAAATGTAGTATACCCATACAATGGGACATCATTTAGCAATAAAAAGGAATGAAATACTGATAGATGCTATAACATGGGTGAACATTGAAAACATTATGCTAAGTGAAAGAAGCCAGACACAATACATTACATATTGTGTAATACTTGTTTTATATGTAATGCCTAATATGGGCAAATCTAGAGCATCAGAAAGTAGATTAATGCTTGCCTATGGCTAGGGGAAAGGGGAATGAGGATTGACTTCTAATAGGTACAAGGTTTCTTTTGGTGATGATGAACATATTCAAAATTAGATTATGATGATGTTTGCACAACTTTGTAAATACTCTAACAACCATTGAATTGTACACTTTAAACTGGTGAAGTTTATGGTATGTAATTATATATATATATATATTTAAACTTACCTGTGTCTAGAAACAAGTTCAGACGTAATTATACCTTAACAAAGCTGTTAACAAAAAACATTTCTGTGATGAGCAGAGGGAGAATTGCATACAAAAGAGTCATCAAAATAAAGAGAATTGAGGATATACAATATTTTAAGGAGGGAGTTGTGAAGAATATGGAGTATTATAGTGGTGGTGACAGAAAAGATCATTAATGAAAACTGTTTCAATAGAGTGGCAGAGTGGTAAAGCAGATGGCAGTGGGCTGAGGAATAAGTGGAAGATAAGGATCTGGATTCAATGAGTAAATAATTCTTTCAAATAGTTTGATTAACTATTGAAGGAGAGGCAAGAAATAGGATGGTAGCTAAAGAGAAAGGTCACATTGAAGGAGAGTTTTAAGGTTTTCGAGGTGTCAGAGACTTGGGCACCTTTATTTGTTAATGGGGAGGAACCCCTACAGAGGGAAAGTCTTGAAGGTATAGGAAGATGTAGTAATCAATGGAAAAAGAGCCTGAGAGGGTGGAAGGACTTGGGATGTGAAGCACAGTGAAGGAATTTATCTTAGATGGGGGAAAATTACCCCTTTCACTGTACCAGGAGGGAAGGAGAAAAAACTGGATAGGTATAAGGAAGGTTGGTAGATTTGTATTATGAAACTAAGGTATGTTACACCTGAGATATTCATTTCCCTTGGAGAGGTAATAGAGTTATCCAGTGAGTATGAGGTGAGAAAGTGTGAGTAATATAAGAGGTTAAGAGAAAGTGGGGGCAGTATTGAAGTAGCTCTGTGGAGAATAGGAAAGAGCTGACTGAGGAAAAAGCAAGAGGACAGCAGGTGAGGAGTGGGGCTGGAAAACATCTGTGTGGTGATAAATGGCTACAGACCCATAGAAGCTCTATTTAATATGACCTTGTTTCTTACAGCTCAGTGCCAAACTAAACAAAACTTGACTGCTTCCATTCCAAAAGCACGCCTCTCTTTGAATATGTTTATTTGGATTTTATACTCTTCTTACTTAAAGAAGCTCACAATCCACATATTCAAAGTTTGTCTCATGACTAGTCCTAATTGTTAGTGAATGGTATGTGTATGTGTCTTATGCCAATGGGCAATGAGATGGAGAGGAATGTCAATGGGGGGATGTAGGGGGAAGTCCTGAAGGAAAGGAGAACAAACTTGGAGCTATTAGGTCTTATCATGACCTTCAGTATGGGGGCCACATCCTCAATAGGACAATCTGTGGTTTCAGTGCTCTGAAGTTTCTGCTGCGCCCCCCTGGCTGCAGGAGACTGACTGACCCTTGTTGAGGACTACATTGAACGATCAGATACCTAAAGATTAGCTGTCCCAATTAGGCCATGCTACCATCTCTGTTACTGTCACTGTTTAGTTGGAGAGTCAGACAAGTACTTCAAGGAGCTGTAGGATTCAACAGTGCAGTTTCACTTTAAAGATAATTCGAAGCTAGAAGACATGTCATGGCTTCCAAAATCAGGATTTTGGAAGAGACTATAGTGACATAGTTACAACTAATTAACAATTTTCATATCCTGTGAAATTTGCAATGAACTCTGAAATAGGTATTCCTAATATATTTAGCAAACATTTAGCAGTTGCTATATACCAGGTACTCTACTATACTATTTAATATATTAAGCAACTGAATTGTCATAAAAACCCCATGAGGTCAGAACTACTATTTAATATGCCGTTTTATAGATAAGAAAACTAAGAAGTTAAAATTTGCTCACCCTCCTACAGCAAATAAAGGGTAGCACTGTTTCAAATCCAAGCAATACAACTCCAGAGGCTGTGTTCTCAACCATTGTGCTATGTTATAAATTCTACTGTTGTTTTTAAATCTTATCAATAATGTTGGGTGAATGGAATCTTCAACACATAGAAAATTTCCCAATGTCATAGAGCTCATGTACAACAGAGCCAGGATTTTAACTTAGTTTTCTTATTCCACAATTATCTTGTCCCATTTCATGCCAAGTATGAAGTATTAAACATTGTAATTATTTGTTCATCTAAATCTGAACCTGTGACCTTGCAAAGCCTCCCACTCCTAATACTTTCCCTCCTTCTGGGGTCCTTGGTGAATTGTCATTCACCAAGTTACTCAGAACATGGCAGTAACTAAAGACACACCTTCCTATATCAATACTCTATTGCCATACTTTCCTGTTTAACTTTAAGATGAAAATCCACTGTGAATCCTGCAGTTGCCTAAAGTACTTATCTGACTCACTCACTAAACTGTGATTGTGACCAAGAGGGTGACATGGCTATTTGATTATGAGGAGGAGCCAGTAGACAGGGAGAGAATGAAGACATAGGAAGATGTGGTGATCAATGGAACAAGAGCCTGAAAGGGTGAAAAGACCTGGGAGTGTCTATCCTACCTGTATACCACACTGTACCTGGTATATACTTCTACTGTGTACCCTGTCACAGTCCTTGTAGTTATTTGTTTCCAGGGTTCCCCTACTAGACCATGAGTTATTTGAAGAAAAGAACCCTGTTTCATCCATTTGAATCTCAAGTTCCTAGTGTGGTGTCAGGCATCATTTATTATGACTTCCGAATGGGTTAAGTTTGCATAAACTCATTGGTACAATAAAATATATTAAACACTCACTGTTGTATACAAGGGATTGGGCTGGAGAAGCTGCTTTTATAAAAACTGCCTTTTCTGTGACTCACCAAAATTTCTGTGTGCACCAAATGTTCCCAGGGGAGTATATAACACACGTATAGCCCTTTGTAGTTCCCAAAAACATGTCTGCATGTATTATGATACCTAATCCTCATGCTGTCTCTGAGAAGTAGTTGTCCTATTCTGTAAAATGGGGAAACCAAGAATCAGAGAGGTTAAGCAACTTTTCCACAAACAAAGGTCAAAAATGTTTGAAAATATACCATTCGGTGATACACACACACACACACACACACACACACACACACAGTGTTTCTCACTATGGTCAGTACTAGTGTAGAGGCAACAAAAAGAGGAGGAGGAAACGTTTTAGTTTTAGTTTTTTTTGGTTTTTGGTTTATTTGTTTTCATTCAGGATACTACTACTTCTGGGCCATGAAGTCTAGAACTTATCTTTTTGGAGTCTCATGTGGGGCATGTTTATAACTGGCCTTTTTAAATTAAAAATCTTGGCTGGGTGTGGTGGCTTACATTTGTAATCCCAGCACTTTGGGAAGCTGGGACAGGATGATTGCTTGAACCCAGGAGTTCGAGACCAGCCTGGGCAACACAGTGAGACTTTTATCCCTACAAAATTAAAAAATTAGCCTGGAGTGTTGGTGCACACCTATAGTTCCAGCTACCTGGGAGGCTGAGGTGGAAGGATCACTTGAGCCCTGTGGGTTGAGGCTGCAGTGAGCTGTGATCACACCACTGCACTCCAGCCTTGGTGACAAAGCAAGACTGTGTCTCATAAAAATTGATTTGTACTTACAAGAAAATTGTAATGATTTAGTATATGCTTTTGAGCAGGATTTTTATAACACTCCAAGTCCAGTTTACATTGATATGAATAGTCAATTGGATGGTGTTTCAGAGCAGGACATTCTGGGATCTTTATGAAAATCCATATTATACTGTTAATTTGATTGGATTTTGAAAGGGCATTAAGTTAAAATTACTTTTAAAAGTGGGTGTAACACAGCAAAAATTAATTAATACTCAAGGTTGAAGCGAATCAGTTAGCATTTGATGGTCTGCAGAAAAGAAAAACATTTAGTGTCTAGGCTGTGCTCAGAATTCTGTACAGCATCAGGGCCTAGTAGTTAGAACTCAGAGGAGCTGCACTTAAACTAATAGATATGGAGTATCTTTCTGACTTTCCCATAGATCATAAAATGTACCAGATTTCAAAAAAATATTTGAAGCAAACAGAGCCACTGAAAATCTAAGTGGTGGCAGTCAAGTGAAACGAATGAGGTTTGGGAGTTCACATTACCATGAATGAAAACTGGCTCAACCATTTACTATCCATGTGATCTCAGCCAAGTTACTTTACCTCCCTGATCTGCAGTTTTCTAATCTAATGTTGAGGATCATAATAGTACCTAGTTCATAAGCATTATCTCCTCTGAGAATTCTTTCATGGCTACCTAGGTTAAGGGGCCCTCATCTGTTTCCCAAGGTCCTCCATGCTTATTTCTGTCATAGCTCTCCTCACAATTTCATGTAGGTGCAATTCTACATGTAGGCAGAATTGTCTATCTTTCTATCTAGGTCTGTCTGTCTGTCCACTAGAATATGAAGTCTTTGAGGCCTGAAGCCCAGCTTGAGTCATCTCTGTATCCCCAGAACCTAACACAGTGCCTAATATTTATTGAATGAATTATTATTACATTTGCTACTTGCTCAATAAAGTATTGCTATCATTGTGTCAGTTTTGCCCTTATTGGAAAATATATGTGAACAATGAATTGACATAGGACACATCTGTATTAGAAATTCTCTTCACTTGAGATTTTTATATTCTTTACCCCATGTTCCCATTTTGGGAAGCTTCTATTTCGGACTTCTTGGCTTCATAAAGAACTTCGGTCAATCTGTTACTCCTTTTCCTTCAGATCTGATCTTACAATAAAACTGCATTAGATAATTCACTGAGGGTTTCTCTGATAAACAGTGACTGAGGTATAGAGAAGTCCCACAAAATAGTATGTGTTTGGATGCATAGTTGAATGAATAGAAGCCTGTCTAAATTATTTTATTTCGAGAAGGGATACTATTCACTATTACCTGGGAAGAGCCAAGGATGTGAACCCAATGACCAGTTGCATTGTCAAGTATAGGTGAGTGATTTCAGACTCACAAGGACATAGTTCTCCTGAATCTTCTTTTTAATTTGTTGGCCATTCCTGTTTCTATTTTACTGACGACTTTTGTTTACTTCATCCCTTCCTCCATGCTATTTGCGCAGATTGCTAATTCAGCACCTACAGCACTTTTCTGTGCTTTCCAGTACACAGATCTGTCTCCCACACCTGACTATAAGATCCTGAAGGAAAAGAACCAGGTTTCATTGGTCTTTGTAAATCCAGCATCAAGGACACTGCCTGGATCATGCTAGGCATCACTAAATTTTTATTTCTTATACTGTTTATTTTAAAATAATTTAGGATTCACAAGAAGTTGCAAACATAGTTCAGGGTTAGGACTTCTGGAATGGCAGTATAAGGAGCTTGGCAAATCCTTTCCCCTAGAAAAACATATCTGAAACTAGACAAAGTATTTGGAGATTGATCAGAGGGCTTATAAAGAATTGAGAAACTTTTATTCAATAAAATCTACTGAAACTCAGTAGGTATAGCAGAAAGTTCTGGGCATTTGAGCCACAGGGGATGCTCTAGAACTCCCCATTCCCATTTTTGTATTGCTGAATAACTATTTCAGATTTAGTAGCTGAGCGGCAGCAGCTGAGTGGCAGTTCCCATCTCCTCTGCAACATGAATGTTGCAGAAAAGCACTTCATTTGGTTCAGCAGTCCATTGGCAGTACTCAATGTTCCCAGGTGCCTGTGTTGGGCAAAACATAATTACAGACAAAATCTGCCAACCCAGAAAACCTGTCCACAAAAGTAGAAAAGAAGGAAAACAGTTTTATTATTGAATAGTCATTAAACCAGAATGTAATGTGTATCACAGGCAATCTGCTAAAGAGATTGGAAAGATAGAAATATCATCTTTTTATATAGCCCAGGCAGATATAAACTATTACATATATGTTCCCAAGATAGACTAGTCTTCATATGAGAGGACTTAATAGCACCATTTGTTACACATAGTTCATTTTAAATTCTCCTGGTACTTGGGGGTGGCCATTTGTCTTTGCTAATTGCCTTTATCCAAAGACATTGTAAAATTTCTCATAATTCTATGACACATAGGTAGCTGTAATTTGAAGCCAGACACCTACATTAAACTCCCAAGAAGATAGGGATGCTATATTCTTTGATGTTTACATTTCAAAGAGATGTCACTCAGGTTCTTGAGAAAGACATTTCTGTGTTTTAAAGCTGGCAAAAGGCTTATTTAGCTTTATTAAAAGACAAAATTATGACAAATTTAGTTATAGGTCTAATTTGCTTTTATCTGTGATTCTTGAATTTGGGAAGCATCCATTCTACAAATAATGAGATCTCCCACTTGGCAATGACAGAACAGTAGGTATTGAAGAGTGGGAACAAGGAAGTAGAACAATAGAAAAAAACTGGATTGGTTAACATCAGGTTACTTTGGGTTAATTTTTTAAAAGGGTTAAAGCAGAGGATACTTCCTTATTATTATGCTGACACAGGTAGACTAGAATCTCCTGTTTTCAGGAAAAACTGGTCTGTTTTAGAATCTGTTTGCTTCGTTAAGGTTTTAGTTTGACGATGTGGCATTTAACACGAGAGACTCTATTTTGTTTTTTTCTTGAATGTTGGGACCTAGTGCAGGAGCTCAGTCCAAAACAATGGCTTCCTGTAATTTTTAACAGTTTAAAAAATATTTACATATCTCTTGAAGGAGTAGAAAAAGGATTCATAACGAAACGTCATCTAAAGTATATGCTCTAAGGAAAGGGATGGAGGGGGTCACTTTCCCTTTTTGCGCCATGAAAAGTTTAATTTTCTCCCCTTTTTGGATTTGCATTTACTTTCATACTTGTGGAAAATCTACACTGGGCAAGTGGTAGGAGCCAAGTAGCCACACTAGCCTACACACTCACCTCCACCTTCCACTCCATAATGAAAAGGTTTTGCTCAGGGAGAGGAGGGTACGCCAAGTATTGCTGGTCCTTCCTGAGGGGGTTAACATTATTTGAATCGGAGCTTGGAGGGTCCAGGGCACTTTTGAAAACAATAGATAATATAGTTTAGATACATGTCCCCACCAAATCTCATGTTGAAGTGTCATCCACAATGTTGGAGGTGGGGCCTGGTGGATGGTGTTTAGATCATGGCGATGCATCCTTCAGGAATGGCTTAGCAACATCCCCTTGGTGATGAGTGAGTTCATGTGAGATCTGGTTGTTTAAAAGTGTGTGGCACCTCCCACTCTCTCTTTCTTGCTACTGCTCTGGCTATATGGCATAACTGCTCCGCTTCACCTTCTGCCATGAATAAAAGCTCCCTGAGGCGTCCCCAGAAGCCAAGCAGATGCTGGTACCATGCTTGTGTAGCCTGCAGAACCATGAGCCAGTTAAACCTCTTTTCTTTATAAGTTACCCAGTCTCAGGTATTAAAAGCAAAACATGAATGGCCTAATACAATAGACCAATCAGCTAACAATCAGAATGTGATACCTATTTAGGCAGATCAGCCTGAAATCTAAAAGGGAGTTCAGTGATAGAAATAGCCAAAAAAGGCCCTGCCGAAATCATACTCATACAAGACAGGGCACGTGCCTGAGTCAGCACATTCTTGGAAATAACTAGAATGAGAACTTATGAGCTAGGAGCTACAACCTCCTGGCTGATTGAGGGGCTAATTCATAAGCTGTGAAGGCGGTCTCCAAACCACACACTGGCTCAGAGACCTTAAGCATAACCTCTGGCCAATCAGTGGCTGACTACTAAGCTATGCTGACTCAGGGACAACAGCTAGTCAGCAAGGCTTACAATTAAAAAAAAAAAGTAAAAGAAAAATCTGAACAGGAGACATTAGAGCTGTACTGTGCAGAAGAAATAGACTGCACAGAATTAGTCCACCCAAGTTACTAGACAAATAAACAATAACGACTAGCCCCAGAAGGGGTTCAATATCAAGAGTTATTATAATATATTATCTAAAATGTCAATTTTTAAACAAAAAGTTGAGATATGCAAAGAAATAGGAAAAGTATGACTCGTATATATAGGGGAAAAAACAGACAATAGAAGATGTCTTTGAGTGGGCCAGATGTTATCTTAGCAGGTAACTGCTATATCTATTATGAATATGTTCAAAGAACTGAAGAAAACTGTGTTTTAAAAATCATAGGCAAGTATGATGACAGTGAATCATTGAATAGAAAGTATCAACCAATAAATAGGAATTACATAAAAAGAATGAAATACAAAACCTAAAGTTAAAAAGTACAATATCTTAAATTGACATGCCTCCAAGAAATGGAGGAACACCAGGGTCCTTGGTCTTGTGCTGATGTAGATAAATGGCCGGGACACATGTGCAGTGGTTTTAAGGAGCGGAGAGTTTAATAGGCAAGAAAGAAGAAAGAAGCTCCCCCATACAGAGACAGAGGGAGGGGGACTCCAAGAAAAGACAGAAAACCCCTTGTGCGGCGGAAAAGTAGCTGGTTATATTGGGAGGCTGGACGAGGCGGTGTCTAATATGCATAAGGCCCAGGGGATTGGTTTGACCAGATGTGTCACTTACGTAGCCCACGAAAAACCTGGCCTTCCCACCCTAGTCTTTTAATATGCAAATGTGGGCCGCCAAGATGTCCTGCACACGCGGAGTTATCTGGAGGCAGCCGTGACACTTGATGACAAGGGGATTAGGGTGGGAATTGCCATATTGGATGAACCTAGTTTCTAATCGCCTGCATTTGCATATCAATACTTGCCAGCCTGGTTTTTTCAAGCCACCTTTCTGTTAAGAAATGTTTCAGGAGCTGTTTCTTTTAAAAGAAAAAAGCCTTACTGAGAACTCCTTTTACCTTCTCTATCTGCCTAAAATTATTCCTTAATAACTACTGTATTATTCTCCCCTCAAGAGAAGTAAACCTAACTGTTGCTAAGGGGTGTCAGACGATGATTCTTCCTGGCTACTTTCTGCTGAAAAGGGGCATCATATGGGGGAACAGCAATTGGACCTTCTCCTGAGGTTGAGCTATGGGTTCTCAGAAGAATGGCCTGTCCATGTGTGGTTCTGCTTGCACCATTTGGAGTTTGATTGCTTCTAGGTGAAAAGAGATAAATTTTACAAGATGGTTTAAAATATAGAGTTAGAATATGAGTATTAAGATTACCACCGTTAGTGGGGGTCCTATAGACCATTACTGAGTTTGATACACCAATGGAGTGCAATACCCACTTGTCTCCACTAGGTGTCGCTGTACATTACCAGAAACGTTAATATAAAGATCACATTTTCCTTGAGAAAAGCATACATTTCCCCCCTTAACTTGCCATTGGAGAATAATTTTATGCTTAGGCCATTTTTATAACTTGCAATATAATTTTGAGAAATATGTTACTGGGTGGCTAAAATAATTTTAGTGTTAATCTTGACAATCCTTTAATTATTAAAATTTTTCTCATGACTTTCACATACCCTCTTACAACATACTTAAACTTTCTCACTTGTCCTAAACATCCTTTCTGTAAACAACCAGTCACTTCCTTTTAGGACAATAATTTACCATTCAAGATCCTTCCTTATGTAAAATCTCTGTTTTTCATATCCTTTTCATAGCTTAGAGTGCATCTTATCACCAACCTTCAGTAAAAAGTCCTATCATAGTAAAACTTCCATGCTTGCTTCTTATCCATAACTATTACTCCTGCTATAACCAAAGCAACCTTGACTAGATATTTCCTGCAATTATTAATCCTGTTATAAGGATGATAATCAGGCAAAATATTACAGCAATTAGAATTTTACAACCAGAATTCTACATTGTGGGTGCCACAGTGATGGCAGCGTGACTATAACAATTCCCATAGGAGTGGCATAGTAAATAATTTCTGTTTAAAATTTTACTTGCCAAGATATAACATTTTCCTTTGGGGATCTACAAAGTTACAAATGCAATCCCATGTATAATTAAAATTTCCTTGCAAATATGCCTTAAAAAGAAGTTCTAATATTTGGTGGCAAATTTTGAGAGGAAAGGGGAGAAATAATAAACAGTATCTGGTGAGGTAGGAGTGGGACTCAGTAAGACGAGTAGCCCTCACTCAGTTACTTATCTTTTATGAGTTTCAGCTTAAGATCGTCTTTTCTCCACATTGATATTCAGGATGTTCCTCTGGGCTGTCAGGGGTTGCTCCCTCAGCTCTTTAGGCTTTGACTTGACTGTGACGTATCCGGGAGTCGATTCCTGTAACCTTTACTGCCGAGGGGGTTGAGTTGAAAGAAGGGTGTAGGGCCTTTCCCAGCCTGGCTTAGGGAAGGAGACAGAGATGAGAGTTTTCATTAATACCGAATTTCCTGGATTAAATAAAGGTGGTTCTATTTCCTGGGGTTGGGCTTCTGCTAGTTGTGTTAATTCTTGTTGGAAGTGAGCTCGAGAGGTTACATGCTTAACCAATTTATAGGTTTTCCTGCCTGAAAATAATCTTTGAGTACATTGATAAGTCTTATACTTTCCTAAGTGAAAAGCTTGGTGAAGGATTTTAAGGACTTTTCATTGGCTGGAGGCTGGCAAATGGAGTTTGCCATCCTCTGACTCTAGCCATCCTGAGGGATGAAAAGTACGCACTTGAGAAGTGGCCTATTCTATTTCTGCAGGGGAATACTAAGGTTTAATTTTTCTTATGGAGCCTTCCTAGATTAGGAGGGGCTTGAAGTGTTTTGATGCCTTGAGGCTTCCTTGCCTCTGACTTAGCTGCTTGATCAGCTAATCGATCTCCTTTGGCTACCTTATTTGTTCCCTTTTGATGTTCCTTACAATGCATCCCTGCTAGTTCTCGCGGAAGAAAAACTGAGGATAACCTAATTTCCTGCTGATATTTTTATAGGAGATCCATGAGTGGTAAGAAAATGTCTGTCCTTTTAAATGGCAACATGAGCATGGAGAACCAGGAAAGCATACTTGGAATCAGTGTAAATGTTAGCAGTCTTTCCCTTGCTTAATTCAAGTGCTCTTGTAAGAGCTATTAGCTCAGCTAATTGAGTGCTTGTGTCTGGGGAGAGACGTTATTTAGAGCTACTACCGCTTATCCTGCCTTGTGTACGTCTTGCTTTACTGGCTGTTTGCTAGCTAAGAGCTCCCCCTAGAGGACAGTGATCCTGCCACATTATGTGGAGTGTTAATAACACTTAAATTATTTCCTAGGATTAATTTAGTAGAGCTATCATAGCAATGGCTTGTAAGCCTCTGTAAATAGGTCCTCCTAACTACAACTAATGTTGAGAAAAATACTGGATTAGAGTGTTTCCTGAGATGCCCCTTACGGTCATGTTATGGGAAGAGGGGAGGTCTGGATTAAGGAGGAGAAAAGAGAGAGAAAAGAGGATCTAGTGTTTAAAGGAGGTCTACTTTCCTTCCTTTATTTTCCAGAATCACCCAGGGCTCTTGTGTTATAATGGCAGTTTGAGTCGTTGGAGCTGAGGTTTGAGCCCCAGGACCCATCAGTCCTGCTGGATCATCCTTGAGACTGGTCCTGAACCCAATGACTTCCATCTCTGGGGTCAGTTCCATCTCCAGTGGTTTCCGCCACAGGCTGGACAGGTTGAGATGGCTTCATCTTGCTGCCTGGGCATTCCTTCTTAAAATGCTCTGGCCTGCAACACCGATAGCAACTAGCGGATGCACCTTGGGTACCCTGGACTTTGCAACCAGAGCCTCTGTCCTTCTCCTGAGCTTTTTCTCTTTCTTTTGGGCCTCCTTCTGGTCCCTGTTGTAAAAGACTGAAGTGGCTATCCTCAGGAGGTTTTCTAAGGTGCTATTTGGTGCTATAAGTTGCTTCTGTAGCTCCCTTCTGATATTGGGAGCTGCCTGTGTAATAAACTTGTCCTTTAGAATGAGCTGTCCCTCGACTGAATCAGGGGATAGGAGCTGTGTTTTATCAGTGCCTCTCTCAGCCTTTCCATAAAGGCTACAGGATTCTCATCTGGCTTGTCTGTCATAGACAGTTTAGAGTAATTGAGAGGTTTGGCCCTGGTTTTCTGTAGACCCTCTAATATACACCTTAAAAAGTGCTTCTTTTTCCATTCATCTCCAGAGTTATTGGGGTCCCAATCAGGGTTGTGTACTGGGAACTGCTTCCCTCTTGATTGGGAATGGTGTTTCTGTTATTTCTTCACTTTCCCTATCTGCCTTCTTCCTTTTTGGTGTTTTATAGGAGATATGTTGCTCATTTCCGAAATTCTCTGCTTCTTGCAGAGCTGCCTGCTTTTCAGCTGCCATGCGGTTCTGGTTTAGGAGCAACATAACATCCCTCGATGTGGGGTCAAACACCTGAATTAAATTTTGGAAAGCATCTATATACCTATCAGGGTCGTCAGAAAATCAACCTAAGTTTCCCTTTATTTGCCTAAGGTCCTATAATGAGAAAGGAACTTGAAGGGGCCCCAAATAAGAGGGATCCTCAGGTAGTTCCCCTGGAAATTGCTTCTCTAACTTGGGGGAACTATTCTCTTTGGGCCTGCCAGATGTGATTGCTAAAAGGCTGGGTTGACCTTAAAACCCTTGCAAAGGTTTAGTAAAGATGCCATGCCTTTGTGCAAAAGAAAATGAGTTGCTTTTCTCTTCAAAGTCCTGAGGTTAAGGAAGTTCCAGTGCTTCAGAGTATGCTCCAGAGGGGTGCAAGCTGAAGATGATCTGTTACCCATCTAGAAAGAGAGGCGAGAATAAAAGTGTCCTTTTAGTTTCCTTCCTTTCTGTATGACCCAGGGTGGAGAAGACAGTGGACCATCCTCCTGTTTTCCCTCCATGGTTCCTGGGTCCTGGCATGCTGTTAAACGTGCCATCCACGGTTGCAGGCGTGGTCCTCCAAGCCATGGGACTGGATGAACTAAGTGATGGGACTAACCACGCTTTACCCATGCAACCTTAGCTTATCCACCTTGCGTGATCCCCTTTGACTTCCTAAACCTGTGTGATCTGCCTGGCTCCCTGAGAAATGGATCTCTGGAGAGACTGTGTCATCTTTGGGTAAGGCTCCTTTAACAGAGGCAACATGCTAGACTGCCTGCTATTATGGCCCATGCTGAAGCATTTACCTTCAGAAAAATGGTTCTGGTTTACTTCCAAACTTAAAATCCCCTTACTAATTGTTAGGCAGGAATCTAGACCCAACATGGCGGCGTTACCCGGCGTAGCAGGCCTTTTGTTAAAGACTCCCTTCACCCTTGTACACACCCGCAGACTTACATGCGTCAGAGTTCCGACTGGGCAACCACACTCCCCCATGACCTGCAGCTCACCTGCGTTCCACAAGTTCGTAAACAGCAGTTTCGGTTAACAGTTTCCAAAGATCCCTTCCTCGTGACCCTTACTCAACTCCTGCCCTAGTAGTTTCAAGACCCCCCAGGCCCTGTTTGCACAACCAGCTTCCCTACCTCTCAGGCTATAAAAAGCCCCTACCCTCCTCCCTCAGCGCGACTTCCTCGGCCCACGCCTTTGAACCGAGGAACCTCGCCAGCGAGTCCTAATAAAGGCTATTCTCACTGCCTTTTGCCTTGTGTCTTCGTTCCCGGTTCGGCTCCAGCCTCAGTTTACCTTTACATTTGGTGCTGAAACCCGGGAGGAGACCCCCTACCCCGGACCCCTGCCGGGTCGGGCAGGCTCTCCTCTCTCCGAGCCAGGACCTTCTTTCCGAGCCCGGAGCCATTTCACCAAATCCAAGACTCAATTCGATCACTGCTGGGTAAGTTTTCCCCCGTCCTGTAGGCTCCCTCTGGGAAGTCCCTGTCCGAAATGCGTGGCCACATCAGGGGCTCCCTCCGGTTAACTGTGACCTTGGCATTGGGGACTAGGAAACGTCCAACCTCCCCGGAAGCCGCCGTACCCTGCACTCCGCGTGTCAGTGGGAGGATGCTCCCACTGCTGCCGAACTGCCCGCCTTAGGACCATGGGAACTACCCAGTCCAAACCAAACCGAAAATCCCCTCTGAGATGCCTCTTGGCTGATTTCCAGACTTTAAGTCTCAGCCAAGACCTAAAACAAAAGCGGCTCATTTTTTTCTGCACAGTAGCATGACCGCAGTATAAATTGGATAATCAGTCTCAGTGGCCTGCAGAAGGCACTCTAGACTTTAACATCCTCACGGATCTGACCAACTTCTGCAAGAGACTAGGCAAATGGCACGAGATACCCTGTTAGGACTTGCGTTCTCACCCAGATCTCTGCGCTCAATGCTCATTAGCTCAGGTTCTACTCGCAAAGTCTCTTCCCTCGAGCAAGGAGAGGGATGATTCCTCCTCTTTTTCTGAGCCTCCTGACACCCTATCCCAGCCACCCCTTTGGTCTCCCACCCAACCTTCTCCTTACCCTGACCCGCCATTATCCCCGTCCTCATCAGCGCCTCCCCTCCCTTCCACCCCTCCTGTGCCCTCGCCAACCCCGACAGATTCTGTCTCCCCTACCTCCACCTCCTCCCCTTCCTCGCCTGTCTCAGCCCATACTCGATCCAGGACCGACCTCCTGTGTCCCTTTCGAGAGGTGGCAGGTGCCGAAGGAGTAGTCCGGGTCCATGTGCTGTTTTCGCTGGCAGACCTGTCTAAGATTGAAGAGCGTGTAGGCTATTTCTCGGCCAACCCCACTCGGTATTTCAAAAAGTTCAGATACCTGTGCCAGGCATATGATCTCACCTGGCATGATCCCCATGTTGTTATGACCTCAACCCTGTCCCCTGAGGAACGGGAGCGTATCCTAGTGGCAGCCAGGCAGCACGCTGACCAGGTTCATTTAACTGACCACGCCATGCCAGTTGGCACTGAGGCGGTGCCCTCAGCTGAGCCCAACTAGGACTAGCAGGTTGGTCAGGCAGGCTGCTGCCGCCGAGATATGATGGTCCAGTGCCTTCTTGCTGGCATGCAGGCAGCCTCCAATAAGTCAGTCAATTTTAATAAGTTAAAGGAGGTAGTCCAAGGCTCAGATGAAAATCCGGCTGTTTTTCTTAACCGACTGACAGAGTCACTTATTCAGTACACCCACCTTGACCCTGCCTCCCCTGCAGGAGGAGCCATCTTAGCTTCATACTTTATTTCTCAGTCGGCCCCCAATATCCAAAAAAAGTTAAAAAAGGCGGAGGATGGCCCTCAAACTCCCATCCAGGACTTAGTCAAACTGGCCTTCAAGGTCTACAACTCCAGGGAGGAAGCAGCTGAGGCCCAGTGACAGGCCAGGCTAAAACAGAAGGTACAACTCCAAACCCAGGCCTTGGTAGCAGCCCTGAGGCCGGCCGGCTCCAGGAGCTCCCAGAAAGGAGGTACTACCCGAGCGCCACCTGGTGCCTGCTTCAAGTGCGGCAACGACGGCCACTGGGCCAGGCAGTGCCCTAACCCAAAGGAGCCAACTCGCCCCTGTCCGAACTGTCGGCAGATGGGCCACCAGAAGTCAGATTGCCCTGACCTAAGGACGGTCGCTGCGCCTCCACGTGATGACCCTCCTCCAGGTATTGGAGGTGCCTTCCAGCTCCTTGACACTGACGAAGATTGAAGAGGCCCAGACTCGGGGACCCCTCTCACTCTCGCTGAGCCCAGGGTTATGCTCCAGGTAGCGGGTAAGTCCATATCCTTCCTTATGGACACGGAGGCTACCTACTCTGTTTTGCCTTCCTTCAGTGGCCCCAGCCACCCCTCCACTGTCACAGTCATGGGAATTGACGGCACTCCCTCCACCTACCACCAGACTCCTCCTCTGTCTTGCCGCCTGGATGGCTCCCTCTTCTCGCACTCATTTCTCATCATTCCTTCGTGCCCAGTCCCGTTGTTAGGATGAGATCTCCTCTCCAAGCTAGGGGCCTCAGTTCACTTCCGACCCAACCCCTCCCCACACCTTGCGTTCCTCTTCCCCCTTCTCTCACCTGACAAACCCCACCAGGCTGACCCCCCCACTCCCGTTTCCAGTCCCCATTAACCCTAAGGTGTGGGACACCTCCACCCTGATCATTGTCCAGCACCACACTCCGGTCCGCATCCGGCTAAAACACCCTTCCAAGTTCCCCTCTAGATCCCAGTTTCCTATCTCCCTTGAACACCGACAAGGACTAAAACCCATCATTACATGCCTGCTCTGGCAGCCCATTCTAGTTCCCACCAACTCACCATGTAATACTCCTATCCTGCCTGTACGGAAAAGCTCTGGGGCCTATCGTCTCATGCAGGACCTACGCCTCATCAGTGAGGCAGTAGTCCCTACCTTTCCAGTTGTTCCTAATCCATATACACTCCTCTTGCGCATTCCCCCTGACACCACTCATTTCACTGTCCTTGACCTGAAGGATGCCTTCTTTACCATCCCTCTACACCCAGACTGCCACTTTCTGTTTGCCTTCACATGGGAGGACCCAGACACTCATGTTTCTTCCCAGCTGACCTGGACTGTCTTGCCTCAAGGGTTCCGAGATAGCCCCCATTTTTTCAGACAGGCACTGGCACAGGATGTTGTCCTCTGTCCCCTGACCCACAGCACACTATTGCAGTATGTCAATGACTTATTACTACGTAGTCCTTCCTAGGAGTGCTCCCTTGCAGATACTGCTACATGTTTAAATTTTCTAGGCGACCGAGGTTATCAGGTTACCCCCAGCTAAGGCTCAACTTTGCAGCCCTTCTGTCACCTACCTAGGCATACTCCTCACACCCACTACAAAAAGCCTCACAGCAGATAGAATAAGCTTCATTGAAACTCTCCAGCCTCCTCAGGATGTGGAAGAGATCTTGTCCTTCCTAGGACTGGTGGGCACAGTGAGTCTTATCCCGTGGCCCGACTCAGGATCTTTAAGGCCTACATCAAGGTCGTAAGCAGCCTCGTCAGCCTGGCCTCTGACATCAGACAGCAGGAGGAAGCCATCTCAGCTCTAGCCCAGGCAGCAAGCCCCAGGACAGCAGCAACCCTTTCTCCTGGCTAACCTTAGTCAGGGAAGGGGCTCAAGTGGTACACATGGTCAAAGTACACAACATCTCTCGTTGTTTCTTGTGTGCAGCCTTGAATAAGCCCCCACTGGTTGTGGTACCCTTACACAGCCCTTTTAACTCCTCTAACCTAACCCCCTCCTTTCCCCTTCCCGGCCAAACACTACATCAGGACTAGTAGAAACCAATCTCCTCACTCTAGAAAAGATTCAGGACAGACTCCACCAGAAAAACCTCAGATCAAGGCCCTCACTTAGGTGGTGGCAGTCGTCTGTGGCCGGTTAAGTCCTACCCTTTCTAAGGCCCTTACTAATCACTGGCTTCTTTCTACTCATAGCTCCCCGTGTCCTCTGCTTCATCCAGGACCGCATGAAAGAAGTCTCCCAGGTCACTTTCAACCAGCTGCTGCTCCACCCCTATACCTGAGTTCCGACCTCCGAAAAACCCCACGATGACCCATACCAGCAGGAAGCAGCCAGATGAACACGTCGTCCCATTTTCTTATTAGAAAGAGGTCAGAATGTTAGGCAGGAATCTAGACCCAACATGGCGGCGTTACCCGGCGTAGCAGGCCTTTTGTTAAAGACTCCCTTCACCCTTGTACACACCCGCAGAC